GTCTGAAATGTTTATTTTTATTTGAAAGTATTCAGAAACAAAAATATGGAAATGTTTTTTCCTTGTTTCCGCGACCAGCCAGCTGTACATCTTTCGATTTGCGGTCCGACTTAACCGTCTAAAATAAATCATAATCACATGCACACTATATGAAAAGTGTCTGCAAAGAATTCAGTTGAAGTACCAGAAGATTTAAAACAATTTGTACCTACTGCAATTACTGTTACACGACATTTGACATACAAGTTCATGGTAATTCGAAAATATAAACAATTTATCAACCACTGAATAATATCCTTTTCCGCTTATCAGTTTACACATGCGTTCCTTTAAACTTCTTAGGAAAATTTCTTTCCTAAGTAATTAGATTTGTACTGTAGAATGCAATGTAAAAAAGGAATTTCACAACTACTGCTATTTACCGCAAATTATCCATTATATAGGAAAAAATGTATCATGTTTTGTCAGTGCTCACAGTTACAAAAATAGTAAGAAATTCAATAAGTATTACGATATCTAAATTCAGACACAGAGTCATGTTCACATAGGTAAAGTATTCATAGGAATTATAAGTGGAAGACGTCGATTTTTCACTGAAGAGACAGGTTTAATTCAGGGTAGTAATAATAATGACTATACCTAATTTATGTTAAAAATTACAAGGTTTTTCGAAATAATGTTTATCAGTAACAAGTAATTCACAAAGTACATGTTTCTCTTGAATGCTACATTTTTTATCTACTTGATATGGTAACTTATTGCTCGATCTTCTGAAGCATACACGTATTCAATTATTTTATAATCTAACTATATCTACACGATATATTGTGGTATGTGAAAGGGTGTTTTCAGTTAATTTGTAGGTAGTGTTACTACTATATTTTCATCAACCATTGGTGTGATGCGGTGTTAGTATTTTAAAACGTATGATGATTTATTCGAGTGAAAAACTGATATTAATTATACTCTATGCCATTTGGCTGTAAAAAAGGTCGGATCTACAACGCTTCGGTGAGAGCAGTTTTGCTCTATGCTTGTGAAACCTGGTCTCTCCGAGTTGAGGACGTTAGACGACTCTCTGTGTTTGATCATCGCTGTCTCCGAAGGATTACTGACATTCAGTGGCAACACCATGTTAGTAATGCAGAGGTTCGGCATCGTATTTTCGGGCACAGAGATGATAATGCAATTGGTGTCACCATCTTGAAACACCAACTTCGGTGGCTTGGAAATGTTTTACGAATGTCGTCCCAGAGAATTCCACGTCGTGCATTATTTACCGACTCTGGGACTGGTTGGAGAAAGCGGAGAGGTGGTCAGTGCATGACATAGTGTCGTGGTATGAAAGAAAGCTGCAAAGGACTGGCTTCTGTTGGTCCTTCACGACTCCCTGGTTGGGGTCTGGGAGATGGTGCTACACAGTGGCTAGAGACGTTATCAGATATGGCTCAGAATAGAAGCCAGTGGCGATTCTGCTGTAACCTTCTTTTACTTTCTTCATAAAAAGTGGTTGTGTCTCCCTTACCTGAAAGATTTCTTCCGATTGTACCTTTGCGTTCCCTCATTACTACCACACTACCTTACACCAAGCTCTTCGTTATTGTTCTCTTTTTTTTCTATTTCTCTTCGAATTCTCATTGTTTTGTGTGGCGCATATATATTGGCGCTCTCTTGTACCAATATTTATGTGTTCAAATAAATAAATAAATAAACTATGCCATTTACTCGTGATTTCCTTGTTAAAATCAGTTTATAATATCTCACGTTTACATGTCAAATTAGTTACAGTAACTTAATTAAATTTGAATGTTAGATAGTTTGACTTTCAGTCGACTAAAATGCTTTTCCATTAGTATGTCATTTATTATACTAAAGTTTGTAAGCGACCTCCACTGAATAATTACTACTTAGTCTAAGGAGTCGATAAAACTAGTCAACCAATTTACACGCTTCAAGAAAAAACATATGCTAATCTATAAAATAAATTCTGTGATTCTTGTACTATATGATGTGTACATGCATGTACACTCAGCTGAGTCCCAAATAGGAGGAAATGCGTGTCCTGAATTCTACTGCTTTCCACCATCTGACTTTGCTTGTATTATGTCCTAATATCAGTTCTTTGTTTTAGATATCATTCTAGGGTCTATTTCAACTAGTTTAATATTCCCCCAAATAATATCCACTGTTTTTCGCACCGACTTATGGAATTGACCTTGTTGTCAAACTCGATATTATAGGTAACCAAATGTCTACACTAATTGGGAGAGGACAGGGGGGAGTGGTAAATCTAACGAACTTCGTACCAGTAAAATCTTTTCCTCGTAGGCTGCGTGATACTCTTCAGAAGCAAGATGTTATCTCATCCACATATATGTCACTTTAAAATTAACTAATTCAAAGATTATTAAGCATCCTACGAAAATGACATTTCAAGGGTGTTTTTGAAATAATCTTTCAATTTAATGTAAGCAATTGGTATAATGAATAAATCAGTCAAGTGATAAATGAATAAGCATATTAACTAAATATCACTATATAAACTAATTTCTTATGACTATATTTTCTAGATGGACATGATTATTACTTGAAATTAACACGTATTTTAAAACCTTGTGGAGATTGTTGACTGTTATTGAAATCGTGAATCGATCAGTGTTAGACTATCATTTAAAACCTGGAAACCCTAAACGGCTGTTTCTTCTTAACATGGAAATCAGCAGTGAGCATCCACTACCCCGCAAGCGGGATTCGAACCCAGGATCTTAAGTTTTGCGTGCAAATGCTTAACCTCTAGATGACTAAGCATGCATTCAGTGGTGTTCACGTCTAACTTGAATCAATCTACGATGTCGTACAACCGTGTTTCATTTTCTTCGGTAGGTAACTGCCTCACACTTGACACGGTTGAACTCCACTTATCGCGGTTTCGAAATAGAAGTCCAAGAATTCTCTCTAAAAGCCTATTCAATAATGAGTATATGATAATTATCAGTATAGAACTGTGAAGATTGTTGATTTTCAATGGTTGTCTAACGTTGGTCGGTTCATAATTTCAACGAAATGCATTTTACATGGATCGACTAACCAGAATAATTTAACATATTGTGAAAACACAATGTGCAGGTAAATGTCATGGTGAACATAAGCTACTAATTTGAAAACTGAAGGATTTTGTTTGGAGATATCGGTACATAGTTCAGAGAAGGTATGTTTTATTCTATGATGGTGATAAAAACATTGATGCTGTAAATTGTGAATAGTATTCAAATTAATCACGAATCTAATGAAATGAACTAAAACATATCAATGTGGGTGAAAGTTAAAATCTAACGCTTATCTGAGCCAATATTACCTTCCAATGTTTAAATCTAAGCGTCTGATTAGTATGAGAGAAATACAGAGATAAAACAAGGTGTTAATGGTTATGCAGATGGGTTTCGAACTTCAAGAAGAACTACTCTAGTAAGTAGAATATTGCTGTTAAGTTATCGGGTAGGCATGGTTTGAAAATCATGTAACTAGGTTACGCTTTTGTCAAATAAGTAAATAAGTTCACTTGTTTGAAAATTATGTCAAATAAAAAAGTAGTCGTAATTCAAAGATCATTTAGCCTTAATTAGTTTTCCTAAAACATACAAAGAAAGCAGAACTATATTGGCGGTATAGAAAACAAATATGTAGACAAGATTTTGAAATCCATAACTTCATATACTTTTCATTAAATGTGTAAACAAGTAAATTCAATTAAAATTTCTGTCAAGTGGGTAAGTAAGCAGAAATTATTAAAAGTCTAGTTTCATATACTTGTAATATGAACATGTTTGAGATTTTTGGTAATTCGTTAGACCATTTCGAATCCACAGACAATCATGTTGGTAATGAAAGTGCATGAAAGCGAAATATTTATTGAATTCCAGTCGAAATAACTAAAGTTTGATGAATATTTATCCGTGTCACGTTCGAATTTGTTGGTTTAGCAGAAGGCCTGAATTAGTTTTTATGTGAATGTGGGATTTCACCTGTTCTTAGTTGACTAATTGATATCCAGTGTCGGATACTGGATCAACTGAGTACGCTAACCCCTATGTCTTTAAATAATCAAAGCTGAGACAAAGCTAAACTGTTGGATATAGCTCACCAATTCCTTAATCGTTGACCAAGGCAGAGAAGCATATTAACTATTCAGTATTTTAAATCACTAAAATAAGTACGAACGAACCCTGATATTGTCTTGTTAAAGCCTGATAAAAGATCCGGTGTGATTGTCAAGAACAAATTTAAATGTAAAAGTAAGACATTATCTATTTTCATTGATGAAAGTAAATTTATGCATGATGGTGAATGCACACTGCTGAGGAGTCCCATACTAGGTCAAAACGGTCGTCCACTGCTTTCACGTTTTCCATGATGGTCTAGCTTTAATTGACTTAGTATTTCAACCTGTAAAATTTCTAAAAATCTTCACAAAACCACTTCTGATAATAATCATCTGCTCACTAGTGACTGACTTCAAGAGATACTTCTGGAGTTCTAGTGAGAAGCCGTTGCCATTGAAGTTCAGCCAGGTCTGTTTCGAGTTATCAGCTCACTGAAGACAATGGTGTACGTTGGGGCAACTTCGTGAATTGGTTGAAATTAGATATTTACACCGTTGAATTCCGGCTCAGTGGTCTAATGGTTAAGTGCTCGCGCGCGAAACCAGCAGGTCCTAGGCTCGAATCTCGGGGGTGCGGGATCGTGGATGCTCACTTCTGAATAGTCCCATACTAGGACGAAACTTCCTTCCAGTGCTTCCAGATTTTCCATAGTGGTCTAACTTCAATTGACCCATGATTTCAACTTATATAATTCACAGTTAAATTAATCATTTATAAAACTTATTTTACAAATTACACACTAACAAAACATCAAAAATTAACCAATGAGAAACTTAGAAATATGTAGTTTTTTATAATTATTAACTTATAATTAATAGACTTATCGAATGATTGCCCTCTATAGTGAGTGTATTAAGATACTTTATATTCTATTTATATTCTAGTGTGATTTGTATTATAAAATAGATTTTCTCAATAGCCAATATTTAATCACAAAATACAATGAAGATGTACAAAAACATAATTTATTCTATTTCTATTTAATAATCCATTACAAGATACATATGTGATATCAATGAGTCCATTGAATACAATTTATCGTAGATTATTTATCAAAAAATTTTATTATATTTGTTTATTTATTTTATTTATAATTATCCTATTCAATAAAACAATTAATAATAAAATAAATGAATTATCAATATTATATAATCATTCATTAATTTATCAAAATTTAGATATGAATTTAACAAATATTTGTGAATCCTTTTTAAATATAGAACCAAATCAATTAGTTGCTAGGCAATATAAAAATTATTCAACAAAACAACATTTATTATATTCATGGAAATCAATAAATGATTGTAAATTATTTCGAAAATCATTTCAATATTTATTATGGATAAATAAAGAAGAATTAAATTATCCAATTGCATTTGCATTTACAGTTTATGAAAATATTGATCGTATAGCACGTTTATTACGTTTATTATATAGACCATATAATTTATATTGTATACATGTAGATCGTAATACATCAAATGAATTTTATCAATCTATAGTTGATTTAGCTAAATGTTTTGGTAATAATATTGAAATAATTAAACGTTCACATAGTGTTTCAGTGAAATGGGGTTATTTTTCTGTATTAGATTCATTTCTTAAATGTACTCAAATTATGTTAAATAATACAAAAATTCAATGGAAATATGTTATGAATATTAATGGAAAAGAATTACCATTACGTACTAATTGGGAATTAATTAAAGCATTGAAAGCTTTGAATGGAGCTAATATAATTGGATGTACAACAAAAAATGGACCAAAGAAAAGAATTCCACGTAGAAAACCATCATTCAATGTGAGTTAAGTTTAAGTTTAAAACAATCTAATAAAGTTCTAACATTACTTGACCGATAGTTTATACTAGTAAAAGCTAGTGATTACACAAAGTTTTAAAAATTTAAAAAAATGACTTCAAACATTAAATGTTAACGAACAGATTTCTCAGTACCTATAACAAACAAATGACATCGTCCCATAAACTTAGTAGATTTTCTTTTTATGGAAGTGGTATATGCTTGAACCAAATAACTTTAATGACAGATTAAGTTGTAACTTGGTTATTGAAATTAATACTGGTCGAAATTGATGATTAGTAGTTTCATATGTCTTTTATTTAGTATTTTCTATCAGTTTACTTCAGTCAACTCATGAAAAGTGATACTTTTACAAGAGACCTATGGTAACACATCCCAGAACCTGCTAGACACTCAGGAGTTGTTACTTTGTAATTATTTAGTTTCCATTATTGCTGTATGAAAGCCGTACCACTAACTTGTACAAACTATTCTCAGTAATATCAATGAAAATGAGTTATAGTTAAGATTTAAAACTTAAAGCAACAATGTATAAGTGTACTTTTATTCATTAAGATATTCTCTCAGACAAACTAATCAGGTGGAATATTTACCTAAGTAGTCGAACTAAAAACGATTCCATTCTTTAAAGTTGTTAAATAATTACTGTACGTATACATACATACGTTTAAAGAAACATAATTGTTCTTAGTTGAATTGTTCGAGGCAGTGTAATATGAATTTTGTGGCTGATGATTTTTAAATTGTCCTGATGGTGAAATAAATGATTTCGGGAACACTTATATTTAACAACTTTTTCCTGACTATTTATCTCCTGGTTTCTGTTACATAAGAATTTTATTTAACTTGTAAATTTCTCAAGAATTTCTATGATCGATATTGATTTCCCCAAATAACTCTTGTAACCACTTAGATTCAAGAATAGCAGTTGACTTTTCTGAAGATTATCAAATATCAAAGTAAACAAAGAATCAAGATGTTATTGTTTTTAATGAATTATGTTGATTAATTAATCAACCATAATCGTGGGGAAAAAATAGAACAAACGATCTAAACTGACTATCTCTTTGATCTCACCGATCCTCAAGTAGCTATAACTGATAACCAACAAATTTAGTTTATCTTCTTAACTGTACATGTAAGTTCAAACCTAAAACTTACATTTTTATCCTTATCATGATTCATTCACCATAGCGCGCCCGAATCAACCGTGTAGGCATTTTAAGAAATAAATGACAGTTTAATATCTTTCACTAAATCTATTGAGATGGTGGAAAAAGTTTTAGCTCAAGTGGATGATTTTGATGGAGTTGAGTTCTCAGAGCTGGATGTTTCGGTCGTGGAGCTTTCATCGTTTTTCCGAACGACATCAACAGCACAAACTCCAGGTAGAAGTCTTCCACCTCTCCACGACTAAACCATCCAGCTCAGAGAACAAAACTCCATCAAAAAATAAATCTATTAGTTGTTAAACAGTCATTCGGTTTGAAGCGTATATATATGATGTTATTAATACCACGGTTAACAGAGCTATTCAGGGTAAGTATTTTGCGACGCAAATCTTTCCTCTATAATCACAAAGTAGACAATCCTGTTTCCTTTGACCACTTTTATCCCATTCAATTTACAGTTTATCTGTACCTTTTGTCATAATTGATTTAACTTAAATTCATCGTTTGTTACTTAACAAGGTTACATGGATAAAAGGAAGCTTTTTAGTTGCATTACGTAAAGAATTTGTCAGGTATGTACATACGAATCCCAATTCTATTGAATTATTAAATATTCTCAGAGAAGAACAACATTTAATGAAAATACCAGATGAAATGTTTTTCAGTACATTAGCTTATAATCCACAACTATTAGCTCCTGGTGCTTGTAGAGAATTTTATCCACCCAATGAAAATGATAATCAATCAACTTTCGTATCACGCTTCGTTATTTGGAAACCCAAAAAATGTGCTACCGGGAAAAGATATCATACAATATGTATGTTAGGTGTACAACATTTACATAATTTAACAAAACGTCAAGAGTTTTTCGCCAATAAATTTCATAATGGTTTTTATGATGCAGCGTATGATTGTCTTGAATATTGGATATTGAAGAAAATGAAGAACGAACGTTTAACGGGTAGATTAGATCCAACATTTAATCCTCAGTTCTATGCTGATCTACATTGTTCAAAAAACCATATATAATACCTTCGAGCTATGTTACTCTGTTATATTATTTGTGTATTTGTTTGAAAAATCTGTGAACTTTCAGTTTTTTATTGCACCATTCTTTGTTTGAAATATCACTTGCGATTTGAAATACAGAAATGACAGTATAATCCACACCAAGTATCACTTAGCACCCTTACTTGGACATGTCTTCTAATTATTTGAAATTTCTGTCCTCTGTATGTTGAAAATTCACCCATTTGTGCATTGTTCCAAGTGCTATTGTACTGAACAGTATATTATTTTTGAATGTAATCTATTCAATTCTAGTTTTGAAAGTGATGGTAAAAATAAGTGCTCTAAACTGAATTCAGAAGCAATGGATTTTATTATTTTTGTAAGTTTGAAATACTACGTAATCGAAAACCACTTATGATGACAATCTGTGTGTAAATGGTCGCAGGAAATATGTACTTACTGTACGATAAATTTACAGGCATATGATACAGTGACTTATGCCATGACAATAAAAGAGAACATACCTTACATTTAAACTGTGTGTTTATAAAACGCTGGTAGACTAGGACTTTGAAAAAAAAAACAGAAAAACAAGAGATAACTACTTTTGGCGACATGTTGCTTTATCTCTGTACTTCCTAGTTGATTGACTAAATTTTATTTATTGTTTTGTAAAACATCATTGAACTAAAATTCAAAAAGGCTGGCTTCATATATTTTAGAATGAGCGACATCACATCTGTCAAGGTTGATAATTATTGTCCTAATCAGCAATATTTTATTCTCTTTTTTTCAAACATCAATATCGTTTGATTGATCACTGATCTAATGATTCTATTCTCCTTTACGTTTATCAAAACAATTAATGTTAAAATATATTTATCAGTCTAGACAAGTACAGTGGTCACTTTGTAGTTTGTAGCGCTGATCATTCACTGCAGTGCATGAAAGCATCAGTGGTAATAATTAACAATAGATTAGTGAGACGAATAGCTAATTCAATTATAACAATTTATCTAGACTTATCTTGATAAATCAGTACACACGACTCGAAGTCGTTAATTGGGAATATTGTTGATACTTTCTCGATGTGAGATAGAGATCATCGGCCGAAAACATGTAAATAGTGCGACTCACTTCTATTATCTGAGGACTTTAATTATTTACAAGTTTTACTTAATTGATTATAAATATAAACAATGAAGTGAATGAACTTAATCTATTCAGATGTTTTCCTTGTTAATACAATACCATTTTGTGTTAGTTGAATTTAAAATAAGATCAATTCAGCGAAGATTACACTTCATTTCATTTTCAAGGTTTTATCTTATCATATCGAGCCATCTTTTCCCAATGATAATTTCCCGACCCATCTTTGTGATGAATATTTAAGCCCTTAATAATCAAACTACTATTAGTCCCCACGTTTAAGAACCCTGATGACTTCAAATTAAATGGCGTTTATCCTCACTATCTGGTCATTTTTACTGGGTTCTCTGTTCAATATGTTTTAAATACAGCCAAATTATTTGTAACTTGGGTATATGAGGACCCAACACTATTTAGCGGGGGAGGATGAACCCGGGAAATTTGGCATCCGGTTGTCAACTTCGGATCTTCAAAAAAGGGGAGGTGTGTTAGGACCCGATAAACATAATGAATGGTAACTTTGGGATCATTTTATGGACCAATACTAAACGTATATTTTTATTGTATAATTGTGATATGATGGAAAGAAAAGTAAATATTCGATTGAATTATTCATTATGAGTTTTATTGAATATTACATCCATTTTGATTCAACATGAGGATCATTTGATTGTTTTTGCAGTACGATATTTTCTTCTGTATAATATACGATATTCTTGAATTCACTCGACATGAACTATGCTCAGTAAGTGATTTGTTATAATTGAGTATGTGATCTAATCCTAATTATTAATCAAAATGGGTGTACAACCAATATATAAACCAGTGTATTTTAGACTATATTCGATTCGTTGTCATAGTGTTTTGGGGCTAATAAATCTGCACTTATACCAGTTTTGTGTTCTTACTTTCGCATCGTGAGAATTGCCGAGGTCCCTCGTTACGAGTATAAGTGATCAGCGTTTTTCCGGCACAACCATTGCGACGACCGAATATAACAGGGTATGATAGTCACGCGGACCCCAACCAAGTAGTCTGCATCTACCAACATGGCTCAGACTAGAAGTTAGTGACTTCAACGACTGACATCATGTTATGGTTTGGCCGCTCCATCACTAGTCAGTATTGCGCTTCATGGTAATCGGTGTTCAGGCATATGCAATACGTGACCCAACCATCTCAGTCGATGAAGATTCACAATCTTATCAACTGATTTACCATCATTCCCTAATACCTTGAGTCTAACCTCACTATTATTTACCCAGTGATCCCAGCAGATGCGAGCAATATTTCTAAGGCATCTGTGGTCAAATACTAGTAGCTTACGAGTATATTCTACTCTTAATAGCCACGCTTCGCAGTCGTAAATTAGAACAGGACGAACTGACGCTCAGTATACTCGTCCCTTAATTGCCTTTTATGTATGGTAGGGTGATCCATTTGTTGATTTCTGTACTTGACTTTGTATCTGATGATGCATTCGGCTGGTATTTTTTGATGAAGTTAGTTGGGTATTTCTATTTATTTTTCTGCGCTGTGTTGCAGTGTATCCTCGCCCTCTTGAACAAAGTTTGTACGCAGTCGAGGTCTACAGGACAAGTTATGAGACATATATGGAGAAATTTGAACACTTTACTTCTACCTGAAGTTTGTGCTGATGATGTCGTTCAGAAGAACAATGTAAGCTCCATGGCCAAACCATCCAGCTCAGAGAACACAACTCCATCAAAATACCTTTGTTTATTCTTCCTCAAAGAGAACTCTTCGCTTAAACAATCTTTCTTATTTTATGTTATAATAGGTGTATTCCGTATACTAAAGTATTTAAAATAAGTGATTGTTGTTTAAGTTCTCTTCACCTCTTTTCCATTTAATATTCAATTGATCTTATGATAAAAATAATGATGATTTGTCGCACAATTTGCACCTTTTGTATACCATTAGTTAGTGTGCTAAACCGTTTACATCTTATCCCAGTTGATGTTTAGTCATTTATTAATTTATTCACTATTTCTTACTAGAAATCACTTGAATTTGAAATATAAAATCAACATGATGAAAAATAATCTATTTGAAAATTTTGAACTATGAAACTTGAATTATCACACAAAAGTAGTTAAAATCTGTGTACCATTATCAGTTTAATCAACACTCCATTATAATCAAGTCATCATAACAGATATTACCACATTAAAATGGATCAAAGTTCTCAGTATATTTTCAAAACTAAGCATATCTTTAAATCACTTATAAGCAATTAATTTACAGTTATTTCTCATTAAATTAATTCATAGAAACCTAGCATCATTTTTTTCCCTGAAAACTGTTGATTAGTCAAAAGTCTAAAAGTTGCGAGTGACCTATAATTCAAGATGATAGGTGTCTGATAACGAGATCGTAATTCAGCATTCCTATTTTATCCGAGATGAGACTGTAATTGTATAATTATCTATAATATCCGTAACTAACTGATTATTAGAAGCGACTGATATAGTGACACTGTAAGTTTTTACGATTGATTTTTAAGATCATATGTATTATGACTGCTTTGATTGATTGAGATCATGAACCGACGGATGTCAGACCACCACGGAAAACCTGGAAGCAGTGGACAGCCGTTCCGTCCTATTGTGGGACTCCTGAGCAGTGCGCATCCACAATCCCCCTTGTGAGACTCGAACCCAGGGCCTTCAGTCACGCGCGCGAACGTCTAACCTCTAGTGAAAAGCCATGACCAGTGGAACTAATCCGTGTCGGGTAGAGATAGGTATCTACCTCAGTACAACGGAAGATGGTCGCGCAATTTCGTGGATTTTTATGTTCGATTCCTTAACTATAGTTAACCAATCATGTTAAAATAAATCAGTGAATTCATGTCCCATTATCGAAAGCGAAGAGAATGGATTATTTGTTTTCATACTTTATAAATGAATATTCAGTTTGCCTTACTGCGCGATTGTATGCTGCAGTTCCGACAGTAAACATTGGAAAGATTTTGTCTTGTTATGATCCACACTCATTGATACAGGATATAATCTCTTTGCTGGTTTCATATTCGATAACAAATTGATTAAGCTTCTTTTGCCGAAAGTGTGTAGGCGTTAGTTTTTCCAAAAGACAAACTTTAAGCTACTATTTCCCCATTTCTCTCTATGGTAGACATACTGATATTTCATTAATTTGAGTGTGATTTATAAATGATCAAAATCTTGAGATTTATATTTTCCCTATTTCGCAATAGATTTAAACCTTCAAAAGTACCCGGAAGGTTAAATAGAAAGCGTCACCATAATGCCAGAGTAATTTATTTTAGAATACATCAAATTCATCACTGAATGTTCATATACACTGTGTAAAGTTTGAATACTTTTGTAAAAAGGTGTGTGACAAACCTGAGAACTTATTCCTATTTGTAAATGAAGAATATACTACTTGGATAAGTGAAGTAGTATGACGGAAGTAGTAAATCATTTGAAACGGTGACGTATGGGACCCTAAAATTATACTCAGTAAGCCAAAACAATACATACATTTGTGGTCTCATCATAGAGTCCATGTTACCTACACTACGTTTTCTATAGACCTTCCAACAAAAAACTAATGAACTCATGAATCACAGAGTACAAGAACTAAGAGTCACTTGAAGTTAGTAAGGACGCATATTTCGAACCAATAGCGAGACCGAATAAAGTAATCAGACGATTCGAAATATGCAAAATCGTGGAGAATCACTGTTCAGGTGAATGATTTAGGTGGAATTTCGTCCTCTTAACTGTATGGTTTGGTCATGGAGCTTTCATTGTTCTTATGAACATCATCAGCCTAAACTACAGGTAGAAGAGGTTATTGTTGACCTTCAACCTGTCATTGCCGAACTCGTTATTTTGATTGTCTTTCTTTGATATGATTCTCGATCCCATATTTGCCACATTCAGTCATTACTAATTGTTAAGTTAGCCAATGTAAACAGTTTTATCGTATTAACTTATTCATTATTTTTGAATTTCTAGTGAACACAACTGCTAAATCAGTCACATAAGGCATAAGCTTCTACTCAAAAGTGACACTCACGTTGGTGCAACAGAGATATAAGATAAATTTTATGAGACGGTTTATGATTTTACTGATGTCCGAAACTTGACAGATAAAGTAAAATACGAACTCACAAGGGAAACAATAACCACATCTACTTAATTCAGTAGTAAAACAGACTGAGAAAATAAAACCAGGAAACTACGAATATAATCCCAACAGAGTAGATTCTCGCGGGTGGTCAACGTCTTCAACATCAAATGTAAAGAAAAATTAAAAAACAAAATCTCATTCCTAGATATTTTAATCAGCAGAATAAACATAGGATCACTAGAAACGCAAGTATACAGGGACCTGTCACATAGACCAAATACTAAACTTCAGCAAACAACCAACGTACAAGCAGAATTGTGTACATTCGTATTAAAAATAAACAGAAAATTTCTATATCTCTCACTAGGCAAAAACTGAACCGATCGACCAACGAGAAATCAACCCCAGAAATTCGAGAACGGACGCTTCTGCTATATGAAAAGCATCTCAGAAAACAGATATCTTGAAGCCCTAGGAATTCAATGTCACCAAACCGACGTAACCGTTTCAAACCGAAAGATAAGTTATTATTAGAGCAAATTCAATATGATAGAACACTTCACTCCTAATTGCTTACTATTATATACGTATACGCTGAGGTACTACCCGGGCGCCTACAACGAAAATGACCTGCTCAAGGGATCGATTTCTGAGCTTTTGATATATAGATCTAACGGACGAAACAACAAAACGATGTCAGATCCAGTTCCATAGCAGCAAGTGATTGAAATTCATACGCCTTCCGTTTCCTAGGGATCCTCGAGCTCATGCATATCACAATTATGAAATAAGTTCTTTCGGGCTCTTGTAGATGGGCCAGTTTAAGCACCGAACGTCAACTCTTCTTACTCTCACTTCCGTTAAAACACCCCCCAACATGTGACGGCAGTGAGTACTACTTTCCAGGAAGAGGTCACGAAAACATGGAGGTATGGGATCATTTCAAGGAAAGTGAACACTCACTAACTTCGGAGACACCAGGTCGACAGTCAAATATACGGCAGCTAAAGCAAACAAATGCAACACCATTTACAAAGTAAATTGTACCAATCGAGAAAAAAATACTAGACTGAACCCTCTTCTTCAGCTACTCATATGCGGACTAGGAGTGAAACATATGTAATAATATTAACGCATGTATACAATTATGAGCAACGATCCAAACGGAAAACGCTGAAATCCAGGATCAATAAAATTTTACGAATTTCTAGAACTGTGGCATTCAAACCAACTGGTAGTCAAACATATCGACAAATATTCAGTCCGCTAAACCATACGAAAAGGGTTGGTCAACCAAATGATCAGAGACCAACCGAACAAGGCAGTCAAGAATAATACAAAGATGAATGTAAACTTCT